TGGGCTCCTATGTGTTCATTTATTTGTTTCTGTATCTTCTTGTATTCTTTATTTTTGGTGTTTTGACATTTCTTCAGTGCATCTTGTACATTTTGGTGAACTACATCTAGTATCTTCTCCATGAAATTCTCAGTGGTTACTTGCAGGATTTCTTCTTTGAAGGTGTTTTTGTGGGCAACACTGGGTTCCTTAGTGTTGTTTATCTTTGTTTTGTTGGAGTCAGGAACTGGATATCCATTTTCTCGATTTCCCTCTGAATCCTGTATTAAATTATTTTTTTGAGGAGAATGGTTTCCATACCTTTTTCTTCTTCCCATCACTCCACTTGGTACTTGGTACTATGTTCTTGATAAGCTAGTTGGTGGTTTTAGTCACCTGTTTTCTTTCCCTTGATTTAATTTTTGTTTTGTGGCTGTCTTGGTTTTCAGCTAGGTTGGTGTGCTATTTCTGTCCCTGGTCTGGGTATAATTTAGTAATAACTAATTCACAGGTTCAATACTCAACCCACAGTTTATATGTTATATAGAAGATTCCTTGGTGGTAATATCTATAAGCAGTGGGAGTTGGGGGGTTAACATTTGTTAGGATAGCTATAGAAATTTGGGGAGTTGGATAGGGTGGCACTGAAAGGGGAAGTGGGAAGCGGTGCAGGGGCTACAAGTTTTTGTGGTCCTTGTGTGCATTTGAGTGTATTTCTGTTGTAGGGTGCTTGTTTCAGGGATTGCAAGGGTTTGGAGTTGTGTAAAGTTGGTATAGTAGGTTGGTCAGCAGGTGGTGAATGTGTAGGAGGGAGGGGTAGTCTGGTGACAGTTTGTGGGAGAATGGGAGGGGGAGAGAGTGAATGAGAAGGGACAGAATGAGTTGTTGGGAAAGAGGGCAATGGATTTTAGCACAGGAGGGGGAGTGAAGGAGGTGAGAATAGGGATGAGAAGATAGTGATGGTGAAGTTGATAATACAGAAAGAAAAAAGATAATAGGAATAGAAAAAAATAGTAAACCTACAATAACAAAACAAACAAACAAAAAATCAATGGGAAAAAACAAATAAACAAAAACAACAAACAAACAAAAAAACACCAAACAAAAAAACACTAGTTTCAGGAACAATAAAATTTCATTCTTTGTTACATTCTGGAGTTACTTCTTCAGCATCCAGTCCTGATATAGGCATATAAGCAGAAGCTCTGACATGGTCTTGCCAGGTGGTTGGCTTGTGAGTAGTGTTTTGTTCTTCTGTATACCAGTTAAACTGAAATTGTGAGGTGAGGTAGCTTTGCCAGATCATGAAATGTGGTCAGAAATATTGATTTCCCCAGGTGATAGCTGTGTTACCCTTCAGCTGCAGCTGTTTGGTCAGCTCCTCCCCCTGTGCAGTGGGGCATTTCAAGTTTGAATGCTGCCTTCTGGTTCAAGAAATCAGCTCTGTAGTCCACTAGTTACCCTGCTTTGGAGGTGGCTTTTCACTGTGCTTATTTACTAGGGTTTTCAGGCGGGGGTTCAGTGTTCCATCAGCCTCTTCTGCTATCCTGTGTTATGATGGTTCACTGTTTGTTTTTCAGTTTTGTGGGGCAGTTAGGTTTTGGATGCTGCTCACTGGCTCAGGAGATGAACTCTGTGATCCCCTACCTACCCTGCTTTAGAGAGTGTCTTATTACCCACCTGCTCTTAGCCTTCCTGCCTTTTCAGTGTTTGTTTATTGATAGTTCACACTGAGATTAGCTCCTAGCCCCTCCCCTTTTCTCCAGTGCACTTTCAGCATTTCCCCCCACCCTGTTATTGTGCTAGATTACAGCTCACTCTTTGCTATTCAGTTTTTTTTGGGGGGGTTAGTCTGCCCAGGGGCTGTGCTGGTTTATACTGGGGGTGGATGGGGGAATTCCCCATAATGTGTAGCACTCACCTGTTTGTTCTGTCAAATGTCTCGCAGGCAAGTTTGGAGCTGGCGGGGGCAGCTGCAGTGGCAGTGGCAGTGGCAGTGTCAGCAATGAGAAATGGCTCCAAATTTTCTCTGTATAATGTGTTGTGGGAAGCTTTCCTTGGACTATGGGTTCAGGGTGTTGAAGGTTTGATTCTGGTTGGTGCTTTATTTCTGCTTGATGGAAGAAGAAGAGAAAGAAAGGAAAAAGAAAAGAGGAAAGAAAGAAGAATAAAAATTACCATGGGGAAGGAGGGTTTGCCTGGGGCTGGACCCTCCTTGCTTGCTGTACAGCAGGTTGCAGCTGTTAGGTGCAATTAAAGGCTGATTTGAGGTTCAGTCTTTGAATTTTTTCCTGCACCTAGTATGATGGCAGTTATTATTTTGGCTAGAGGCAGTCAGAGTTACTCAGGTATGGCTCCAGCTTCTCAGGGACGTTTTGGAGTCATGGAGGTTAGGCTTTCTGTTTCTGTACCCTAGACGCCATCTTGGATCTCTCTATCACTTGCCTATTTAAGATGATATTAATGATGACATTAAAAAAGATCATGTAGGGAGAAAGAGCAAAATATGAATTTCTTAGGGATTAGGTTGTCAGTACTTAAAGCTTAATGGTTGAACAGAGAAGGAGCTTACAAAGGACACTGTGGAAAAGCAACTTAAAGGAAACGTAGGTGAGTGTAGTGTTGAACTAACAAAGACAGTTTCAAGAGACTAGCTGGTGAACCAACTGTAGATACAAACTTAATGAATGTGGGAGCTTGGCACTATGAAAGTCAATGGTAACCTTGACCTCCTAGGCCAAAATGGAGGGAAATAGATGAAAGCCCTCATGCATCTGAACAGTGACCAGCCCTGCCTGCCTGAACTCACTGTCTTTGACCTTCTGGAAAGATTGCACCCTATGGGTTCAATGACTTGTGTTTTTATTCTGGCTGTTCTACTTACTACCTGTGTGAACTTTGGCATTGTACCAATCCTTCCTCGGTATTGTTTCTTCTATAAAATAGGAATGACTACATCTTACACCACAGTCGTGGACATTGCTGGATAGTATATGTAAAAATATAAGGCACTGAAAACACCAGGTGCTCAGGAAATGGTAACTTTATTACTCTTGCCAACCTCATCTTACTTATGTTGCTTATCTGATAAGGTCTGGGTATGTCATCTCCTCCCTTTTCTGTGAACTGGAACCTCTTCTTGGCAAGGCCAGGGACAGAATGACCTTCCTTAACACAGTGCCTAATATACACTACATGCTCAATAAAATATTTCAGTAATGACAACTGAATAAGAAATATTTGCTGAATGTCAATAGAGAAACTCAAAGAATGTAATCAAAGGGTAAATTCCCAAATCCTCTCTTTTCACCTACAAGGACACCCAGAGCCCACATTGTTTCAGAATTACAATAGGCTCCTTTTCACAATTTTAATTTTTTTAATTGTGCAAAAGGAATAGAGAGTTCAAACCCCAGTTTGAACTCAGGACCTCATGCTTGCTAGGCAGGCACTCTACCAGTTGAGCCACAGCACCAGTCCATCCTTTTCACAATTTTAAAGAGCAGAATGCCCTTTCTTAAAACTTACCCTGGAATTATTTATTTACTATTTTCTATTGTGGATATCACTAGGGTCTCAAATAAAAATGTTACTCAAAGAAAATCAGACTTAATAAAATGATTCAAAATTTTATTGAGTATGCTTCACACACAGGCATTTTGATTGACATATTCAGATACTCACTACAAATCAGACAATCAAAGTTTATTTTAAAATCTAAAGCAATGTTACTCCTCATAAAATCTTTTCTTTTAAGCCTTCAGTTTGTTTCTTTTAACACATCTCAGCTCCATTCAGTGAGACCCATTTATCCATTACTGAATATTTCCTTTTTGGAAAGAACCTAAGATACAATTTTTTTTATTATTTTATTATTCATATGTGCATACAAGGCTTGGGTCATTTCTCCCCCCTGCCCCCACTCCCTCCCTTACCATCCACTCTGCCCCCTCCCTCTCCCCCCGCCCCGACCCCCTCAATACCCAGCAGAAACTATTTTGCCCTTATCTCTAATTTTGTTGTAGAGAGAGTATAAGCAATAATAGGAAGGAACAAGGGTTTTTGCTGGTTGAGATAAGGATAGCTATACAGGGCATTGACTCACATTGATTTCCTTTGCGTGGGTGTTACCTTCTAGGTTAATTCTTTTTGATCTCACCTTTTCTCTAGTTCCTGGTCCCCTTTTCCTATTGGCCTCAGTTGCTTTTAAGGTATCTGCTTTAGTTTCTCTGCATTAAGGGCAACAAATGCTAGCTAATTTTTTAGGTGTCTTACCTATCCTCACCCCTCCCTTGTGTGCTCTCACTTTTACCATGTGCTCAAAGTCCAATCCCATTGTTGTGTTTGCCCTTGATCTAATGTCCACATATGAGGGAGAACATACGATTTTTGGTCTTTTGGGCCAGGCTAACCTCACTCAGAATGATGTTCTCCAATTCCATCCATTTACCAGCAAATGATAACATTTTATTCTTCTTCACGGCTGCATAAAATTCCATTGTGTATCAATACCACATTTTCTTAATCCATTCGTCGGTGGTGGGGCATCTTGGCTGTTTCCATAACTTGGCTATTGTGAATAGTGCTGCAATAAACATGGGTGTGCAGGTGCCTCTGGAGTAACCTGTGTCACAGTCTTTTGGGTATATCCCCAAGAGTAGTATTGCTGGATCAAATGGTAGATCAATGTTTAGCTTTTTAAGTAGCCTCCAAAGTTTTTTCCAGAGTGGTTGTACTAGTTTACTTTCCCACCAACAGTGTAAGAGGGTTCCTTTTCCTAAGATACAATTTTATTTAAATTTCAAAGCTCATCTTAATAGAAAGCTTTGCACCAGGAAATCTACTCAACTCAAGACGGCCATATTTCCTAGCTATATGTCTTAGAGTAAATTGAAATATTTCTAACCTTATTTAGAAGGTCACAATGCTTACCTTCATGATTATTTTAAAAGTTAGAGATAAAAATATGCAGATGTAATATAAATTATAAATTATATAATTATATAAATTATAAAGCACCATAAAAAATAAGGTATTATTATTGCTCATATACAAACACAGCCCATTCATTATCCAATGAATATTTAGTAAGCATACCCATGGGGCAGACATTTTGCTGAGTAGTGAAGATATAAATTCAAAAATAGTTATTAGCCCCAGGAACCTTCAATTTCTGTGGGGAAACCAAAACTACAAGGTGGAAAGAAGCATGTGTTGATGTGGCTGTGGGGATCAGGGAGCTCCAAAGAGCACCCACAATGGAGTGTGGGAAGTGAGGATGGATGGACTTCCTGGATGCCTCATTACAGACCAAGCAGCAAGAAAATCTACCTGAATCACTCCTCTGTAGGGTGGGTCACACACTCTGTAGCCTGGGGCCCTGAGCCAGTTAAAAAGTATCCCAGCCCCTTAAGACCTGCTTTCTCAACCTCATCATGTTTTGGTCTGCATAATATGGTGTTGTAGGGGGGGTGTCTTGTGCACTGCAGAATGTTTGGTAGCATCCCTGACCTCTACCTACAAAACAGCAGTGTGCCATGCCCCCATCTGTGACACCAAAAGCTCCTTCAGACACTGCCAAATACCTTCTCTTAAGATCTACTTCCTTGAGGTCATGGAAAACCAGTGCAGATGCTTCCTTTAGAATGGAATTCATGCAACTACTGCCTAGATTTCTACTGGCACTCAACAAGTACTGAATGAATGAGTCTCCAGGAACCTCTCTGATATGTTCTTTTTGGGGTTTTGTCCAGAAAAGCCCTGGGCTGCTGCTAATCAAGTTTTAGAAGTGCTGAGTGCAAGGTAACAGTAACACCACCTCCATTAATATAGTGCTCTGTACAAGTTGTACAGTCTTGGGCAAGTCACTCAAACCCTCTAAGTCTCTTGTTCTTAAATGAGGGTAGTAAGTTCTGTTTTGCAAGGTCATTGGGAAAGTTCAATGAGATAATTATTGTAAAACACACAGTCTTAGGGGTCTTGACACTCACTCCTTTGGTGAATTGACAAGAGGAATCTTAGCAGAACACTCTCCCAGTTCCTGCCAATGAGCTTTACCCCTTAAAATGGACTCGTGTAGTTTGAGCATCAGCTGCTTTTGTTATGAAAACGTATGAAATGCACTGTGCCAGAAACTGACGCATCAGTTATCCAACTCATTCCTCACAAGCAAACAGGTTAGGTAGGCCCAGAGAGTTGCAGCTTGCCAAGAACTACACAGCTAGTAAGTGACTCCTTGAACTTGAAAGTCTCATACACACTCAGAACCCACTGGCTCAGCCACCTCTGTCACACTGAGGCTGGGTTGGATTGTTGGGTTGGGGGAAAATGCTTTCTGTATTCTGTGTTCTGCAGTTTGTTGTAAACGTAGATCACCAGATCTGGAAATGTCTTCTGAAAGTAACAGGAAGGGTCTCCGATTGTCTTCTTCATACTGAAATAAAACAGGAAGCTCTTGCTTCCCTCCGGCCCACCTCCCACTCTCCCAGCATCACCCCCACCCCCACCCTGTTCACAGCATGTGGCCCCTGAGCTCTCCCTGCTCTCTGGATTTCTTTAACAGGATGAATAAGGGCTTCGGAATCAGAAAGAACAAGGCTCATCTCCTGGCTCTTTACTAACTGCAAATCTAGCCACTTAATCTTTCTGAACTTTAATTTTCTTTTTCATTTAAAGAAATGGAAATAATACAATCCAAAAGTCCCTTATGTACAATCTAAAATACAAAAAAAAAAAAAAAAAGCCCTAAACTTCAAGGGACTTTGTGTGTTTGTGTGTGTGTGTGTAAGTTTACAGCTAACACTGTAAATCAATTTAACAGTGTTAAATCAACAAAAGCTGGTTTAACTCACATGGAGCTGTTAAACTTTTATAACTCTATATTTACTTTACTCAGCCATCCTGTCTTCTGTGTTATTCACACAAGAAGTCACTAGCATCTGTTCACTGAGGCTCAGCAAAGACTATAAAGGAAACTGAGAACCTGTGGACACTAATTGTGAGACCTCAGTTGGTGCCCCTTTTCCAAACAGGAGAGAAGAATCATTTCTGTTTTATCAAAACAAATTTTCTTCTTTCCACACAGATATGAATTTACATTGGATTTTATAAGAAAGAAAGCAATACTCACCTTTTATTTTTTTCCTCATTTATGTGTTCTCCCAAATTCCGAATGAACTTTAGCAGATCACCCACACTGTCCTGGTAGAAATTACCACTTTTTCTATAGAAATTATTCATTTTTGTAAAAACATTTTTGTCAATCTAAAAAACAAAATATTACACAGAAATACAGTGGCATCACAAAACAAATCCTGATGGCATGTTAATACCATAAGGCAAAATACAAAGTTGAATATATGCTGCCCTCTACTAATTACAAAAACAAATTAATAGAAAGGAAAAAAATGATCCAGGCACCAGTGGCTCATGTCTGTAATCCTAGCTACTTGGGAGGCTAAGATCAGGAAGATCACAGTTCAAAGACAGCCTGATCACAGTTCAAGGGCAACAATTCTGGAGATGCCATCTCCAAAATAACAAGAACAAAATGGACTGGAGGTGTGGTTCGAGTGGTAGAGCACATGCTTTGCAAGTGTGAAGCCCTGAGTTCAAACCACAGTACCACCCAAAAAAAAAAATTAGGAAAACAATGAAAGCCAATGATACACACCACGAAGCTAACTGAAGTTGTGTTTAGATGAGGGATTATAAGTAACTTTAAATTTTTGTCCATATTTACCAAGTGAATTGTTTCCATATAGAAATAAAATATATTAAAACATGGTTTAAACAAATCGTTGATCACTATGTTAGGAAGTTTGCTCATTATACTACACGACGTTTTTGTCCTTGTGCCCCAACACCCCAAATTCACACTCGATTACACTTCCTCCTGAGGTCTCTTGGCTTGTTCAGATGGAAAGAAGCCCTGACAACCAATGCAATAAAAGGGAAGTTGGTGTTTGCTTATTTTTGTTTTTGAAATACATTTCCTAAAGGTTATGTACTTCTCCTTGGGTCTAGTTTCCCAGGACAACTTCTTTCCTGTGCTTGTCACCCTTGTAGGTAGCCCCTGTATTTGAAGAGTTTGAGGTAAAAGAACAAGAAGCAAAAACCATGAAGCCCGAGAGTCAGTTAGGAAGAGCGACTGGTGACTGGACGCCCCCTAGTGGGACCACTGTCAAGACCTCCCAGGTGTGCTCTCTACAGAGCACCTGTGAGAGAAGCTGAGCAGTGTGGGGTTGCAGGATGAGGCAGAATAAGAAACAAAGGCAGTAATATATTCTAAAAAACTTGAATTCTAGATCTGTGCTGCCAAACTGTGTGAGTACTAAAATCAGTAGAAAAACAAAGTCTAAAACGAGTATTAAAAGGTAATCAAATTCATGAAATTTAGAGGAAAGAACCAACAGATTGCAAACGAGTAACAGGCATTCCCCCCAATCTCTGCCGATCTCTGCCGATCTCTGGCTGTCCTTCCCTGGGTACTTGAGGTACCATCTTTGAGACTCAGTTTCCTCAGTGACTAAATGATTTGGTGGAGTTGATGGCATCGTAGCTTTGTGGAGGGAGTAGCTCAAGCACATGGCCACTTTTCCAGTCCTGCCACACCTCTGACTGGCTCTGTGCCTTTGGAAATATTGTCTGTGCCTCAGTTTACCCATCTGCAACTATTAGAAGGGTTAAATGTGCTAATTTGCATACAGTCCTGAGAATTATGACTGCCATATCGCAGTCTAGCACTACATCTGCCACTATCATCTGTTCTAGTTTCAAGTTTCTACAAGTTTAAAGTTTGATTCAAAGTTTTCTAGACATTCATTTAACAAAGAGTTATGGCACACCTACTCCATGCCAGGGATACAATGATTAGCAGGACAGCTAACAGCTGCAGGCTAGCAAAAAAAAAAAACAAGACATTAAACCAGCAAATGTGAGTATAATGTGTAGACAAGCAAGGTAAGAAAAGCAAAATGAGAACAAGAAATGAGAGGTGTAGAAGAAGCCAAGGCTTAGGATTGGGAAGGTGTTGGTTTCAAGACCCGAAGAGTATAGATTGGCCCATGATGCTTTGCATGTGTTGGTGGCACGCCCAGAGCACATCACATAACATCATTTCTGCAGGTCTCTCAGCCCCACAGGGGTCACACGCATTCTGCCTTATGTGCCCAGGCCCTTACATTGACCTAGCATGCAATTGGTATTTGATAGATGCCTCTTATTTAAAATAATGAAAATTCTGACAATAAAGCTTGGTTAAGATAGCTATTTTGTAGAATTTCATTATACATAGCTCAAGTTAGTTAGACTTTTCTTGAAGAGAAATTTGAAAGGTCTTTTCTTTGAATTACATGTTCTCCAGCAGAATATAGTGGATTTCAGAGCTGGACTGCTTACAGGCAACAGAGGCAGCCATTCTGTCCCTGGGCTGAGACCTTATGAGAGAGTACCTCCCTTAGGTTAGGCTCTATTTAGTAGGTGCTCTTCTCGTAATGGTGATCGAATTCTTGGCCAGGCTTGAGAGAAAGGCTTATGGGCTAAGTCAATGGACCATCCTAAAGCAGAGCCTAACTAAGAGTGGGGCTGGGTTCTGATAGAGGTGGCAGAGACCCAAAAGAACCAAGAAGAACTGGGATGGAGAGGAAGAAAAATTACCTCATTCACCTCCTTGTTAGAACAAGCCAATGATTTAAAATAAGTTAGAAAAAAAAACATAAAAAATTACAGTCTTTTAGGACTGGCAAAGTGGCTCCAGCAGTAGAACACCTGCCTTAGCAAGTAGGAGGCCCTGAGTTCAAACCCCACTACCAGAAAAATCACACTCTTATTCCTGAAATAAGTCCTAGACCGTAGGGGCTAATCATACCTTAGATGTCCACTTGTTAAAACTGTAATGCTCAGGTGGCTCAGAATGCAGTAGTTTGAGGATATCACTGTTAGACTTTCGGATTTTGATGTCAGATTCATTTCCCACGTTTTGAAGTGTTCTACAGCGGCTGGGATGACAGAATTATCAGGGTCATTCCATTCTTTTCATGCTTTTCAGAAAGAGAAAACTGATTTTTTTTAGTTTTTCATAAAAATAGTACAACACTTCAAAAATTCTGCATGATGGGAAAGGTAGCTTTCTCTTTCTTCCCACCTACTCTTCAGAAGAGGAAACCAGAATCTAGGAGGTAAAACTACCTCTCCAAGGACACACAGCCAATATATGCCAAGATAAGAGAAAGGCCCAGATCTGCTGATTCCCAGTCCTGACCCCTAATGCACCACTTCACCCTCTCCATTCCAGAAGTCTGTGTCACACACTTGAGTTTTACTTACCTCTCCCAAGACCAAAAGAAGGGATGACCTAGCAAGTTACTCAGACAGCCCCTCACATTTTCTCCAGGGCAGAAGAGGTGACGAATAAGGTCCTTAGTCTCCACAGTTAGAGAAAATTGATCCACCTCTTCATTATTTCCTGCCTTCAGCTTCTCGAAAGGAATCTCTCCTTTCTTTACCACATATAAGACCAGCCATCCAAGGGCCTGTACACAAATTAAGCCAAAGGTGCTTGAATTACCTTGGAAGGTGCGACAATTAATTTTGATTGTCAACTTGATTAAATTGAGAAACGCTAAGAGATTAGTAAAGTACACCTCTGGGTGTGTGTGAGGGTGTTTCCAGAGACAATTGGATCCTGAGGGCTCGGGTCCAATGAATGGTTTAGTCCATTGACAGATTCAAATTTGAATAGACTTTTGGGAGGTGGTAGGACTGAGAAGGAAGTAGGTCACTGGAGGCACGCCCTTGGGCACAGTGTCTTCCCTGGCACCTTCCTATTATGGCTCTGCTCTGCTTCCTGTCTGCCATGATGGGAGCTGCTCCGCCATGCCCTCCCTGCCATGATGGACTGAAAGCACTGAGATTGTGATTAAAATAAATCTTTCCTCCTTTAAGTTTTGCTCTCAGGTGTTTTTGTCACAGCTACATAAAAGTAATACAAGGTGAGAGGCAGGCTGTGTGCAAGCAGCGATGGGAGGAATCTCAAGTTGGCAGGCTTGCTAAGGAGAAAAGGCAAATGTCTGTGCACAGTGAACTCTTCAAGGCAGTATATGGTTCACATTGGAGCAAAAGATAATCTTGGACCAGTGTTGTCAGGATAGACTTCTTGGTTGCACAGGGATTTGAGCTGGGCCTTGAATGTACTGATAGAATATAAACAAATTGGGGAAAGAGAGATTGCTTTAACCAAGGGAAATACCTCAAGATTGGCTGGCAACTGGGACTTCTGGATCTCAGGAAGCAGATAATAGAGCCAGTTCAGGGTGGGAGGGATACAAAGAAGAAAGGCAGAGGAGGAGCTTAGCACAGGAACCATCTTCACTAGGCACCAGTCAAGGGAAGGGCTGTCATCTGGAGCCACCAAACCAAGAAGCTACACCCATGGAGGGAGAGCTCTGGCCTACTGGTTACTGTCCAATAAGGAACAGTCTGACAGAGCCTGAATCTTCTGGGGGCTTCAGTCTGCAGGGCTAGTCTCTGCATCCTCTCAGGAGCAACAGCTATTTCAGGGTCTTCATCTTTTTGGCCAAACTTCATCTCTTCTGAGCTGGGGATTTTCCCCACCCCTCCTAGGAAGGGGAGGCCTTCTTCTAAGCTCAGCATATGAGATATTTGAATAAAGTGGGAAAAGAAATTTTATTTACTTTATCCCTAGGCAGAAAAAAAACCTCTTGGAAGAATTTTGGAGAAATTTGGAAATACCTCCATAGAAATATTTGGAGAAGTAGTACAACATACACAGTATGGTTAGTCAGTTATTAGTAGAAGAGAGAGGTAACAAGAGACACAGAAAGGAGCCTCCACAAAAGGAAGCTCTGCACAGACCCAGCCATTACACTTTCTCCTCTGCAGGTTCAAGGTTCTGCTGTGGGAGAGGACCAAGAAAATGTGGTTGTCTGCAGGGAGTAAGAATAGCAGACTAGATAGGGGATGCATTAGAAGTTTTTTTTTTTTTTTCTTGTTAAAATAAGAGCATCCTCTATTTAGCCCTTGGAACTAAGGTAATGAACAAATAAGGAAGCAGAAAGAAGAAAAAGTAAATTGGTTGTAGAAATTACCTCTAGATCTCTTCTGATTTCCTGTAGATTTCCAGCCCACTTGATGCTCTGATCAAAATCTGCCAGACAAACAGCATTCTTGGAATCTAAGGGATAGTTTGCAGAGGTGCATGGGAAATAGTCACACTCCATCATGAGAGAGTCACATCATTCAAATAAATACATAATACCTTGTACAATCCATCATCTCTGAAGAAGATGGAAAATAATGCTATTTACTCCTCAAAACTGTCATGGGCAATGTCATTTGATCTGTTAGGTATCTCCCAAGAGCAGGACATGCATTTTATTTTTTCCAGGTCAGACAGTAGGAAAGGTTAAGAGTGACGTTAACCAGTCCCAATTCATGTCTTTCCTAGGGCAAACAGCACAGGTGTGTAAAGGAGCTGCTGGCAATAGTTAAGGTTATATCCTATGACTCTCAAGAAACTAACCAAGACAGTCCAGGACTGTCTTGGCATAGCTTTCCTCTAAACTGAGTCACCAGCCACAAGCTACTCTGATATTTTACACAATTATCACAGATCAATGATGTGCTTATACTTAGTCATCATTTCCTTGTTCCCTTTAGAGTCTTTTTCCTTTGAAGGAAGCCACTGAACCCTCAGAAAGAAGGATGAATGGATACTAGAAGTCAGAAACAAGGTAAAAAGTGGGAAAGTCAGGGATTTATCCTGCAAGAGGTGGTCCCCAGCTTCTGCTTTGAAGGACTCTGAGAAGGAAGACTGAGTGACCCCAAGTAGGATGAAGGCCAAGACAATTGTGTACTTCTAGAATCCCTTTGATTCCAAACCTAGACATTAGATTCTGTGAGAACCCAGAGCTTAACAAACATAAATTCATTAAATTATTCAACAAGTGTTTATTGAGAGATAAAATGATGGGTAAAGAACATAGTTCAAGAGTTCAGATTAGAGTCTCTGGATGCAGAGACAGATTTTAAATGAATAATAGCACAAATAAATATAAAAATAATTGCAATTTGGGAAATTCTAGCAAAAGTGTAGGATATGTGTATTACAGCAAAACCATATGATTAGTGTGAGGTGGGGGAGTCTTCCTTAAGGAAGAAACAGACTAAAAAGATGAGTAGAATTAAGGAAGCAAGTGGAGTGGGGAAAAAGGGAAGAGAAATTTCAGATAGGAATTCCCAAGGCCAAAAGAAATCTAGAGAATTCCTATCTGGCGAAAAAAAGGCCCAAGTGTCCAGAGAGCTGGGATGAAGTCACAGAGTGCAATGAGTCTGAAGAAGCAGATAGGATGCTGATGGAAAACCAGGGACTACTTCCTGTTATCTGAACCAATCATTTCCCTACACTGTTTAAGCCACTTTGCATTTTCTTCTGCCACTTGAGTATAAAGGTGCCTAAATGGAACACTTCACTGCTCCTCTAACACGATTCTTATTTTGTTTTATTTTTACAGGCCTCGACTTTTTATTATGAGATTTAACAGGTATTAACAGTTCTTTTCATATTTTGGTTAACAATCCTTTATCTGATATGTTTCTTGCGAATATTTTTCTCCCAGACTGGTTCATCTTTTCATTCTCTTGAAAATGTCTTTTGCAGAGCAGAAAGTTTTAATTTCAATGAAATCAATTAATTCTTACTGCTTATCATTTTTTTTTCTTCATAGATGGTACCTTCATAAATGGTGACATCTAAAATGTCACCACCAAACCCAAGGTCATCTAATTTTTCTCCTGTTACCCTTTACAGAGTTTTGTAGTTTATAGTTAGTGTTGAGAGCTGGAACTTTTGAGAGTTGATCTGCCCTCTTCAATGGATTAGTGCCATGATTAAGAGAGTAGGTTCATTTTCCTGGGAGTGGGTTTGTTATAAAGCAAGTTAGGGGCTCTCTTGCACACTCTTGCCCTTCTGCCTTCTGCCATGGGATGACACAGCAAGAAGACCCTTGCCAGACACCAGTCTCTTGATATTGAACTTCCTAGCCTCCAGAACTGTAAGAAATAAATCTCTGTTCTTAATAAATTACCCAGTCTGTGGTAGTCTGTCATAGCAACACAAAAAAAGACTATCACCAGGACTTACCTATTAAGATGTTTCTAGGTTGTAGATCCTGATGAGTGTATCCACAAAACAAGTGCAGTTCTCAAACAGCCTTAAATAGAGATAAGAGGACATCCCAGGACTATCACCAGGACTTACCTATTAAGATGTTTCGAGGTTGCAGATCCTGATGAGCGTATCCATAAAACAAGTGCAGTTCTTGAACAGCCTTAAATAGAGATAAGAGGACATCCCGGCCAAACTTATCTTCCTCGTCCTCCACGGCTTCCTTTCTATGCACTTCCAAGAGGTCTTCCAGAGTCTGTTCACAGAGGGACATACACACATATAAACAGCCCCTGTGGTTCTCACTCCCATAGAATGTCACAAAGTTACTGCTCTCCCTGCAGCTTTGCAGACAGGAGACTTCCTTTGGTGCACCTATGTTGTCTTCAGGAAACAGTTTCACAGCCACTTCTTGCTTCTCGTAGAACCCCAGGTAGATGCCCCCTTTAGAGGTGTCGGCAATTTTATAATCCTCAACCATGAAGATCTTCAGTTTGCCAATCATATGGCGGTATATTCCGTGGAGCTTTCTCAGGGCCTCCCCCCAGTGTGAGCTCTGAGGCTGCCAGTCTTCTGCAGGAGAGTCAAGGTGTTCTTTAGCTCCATAATGGAGAAGAAGCTTGACAAGGGAATTGTCATAATTCCGCCTTGCTATCCCAACAAGGTCCCCACAATCCATGCTGGCTCCCTTGTCACACAGCAACTGGGTGATTTCCTTCAGTTTGAGGTCGACAGCAATCAGCAGTGCTGTTTTGCCTTCCCTGTCTGTGTCATCAATCTCTATGCACTTCTGGTTTAGAAGCATCTCCACCAAACCAAGGTGCTTCTTTTCCACTGCCAGGATCAGAGGTGTCTTTCCTCCTGCCCCTCTCACATTGACATCAATCCCGTGGTCCAGCAAAAGGCGGGTGATATCCTCCATGTTTCTACCATGAGAGCTCAGAAGAGCATGGATCAAGGCGTTTCTGCCCATATTGTCACAGGCATTGACTTCTGCCCCCATCTCATCAAGAAGAATCCTCAAGATATCTATGTGGCCATTTTCAGCAGCATCCATGAGTGCCGTGGCCCCTCCTTTCCTAAGCTGGCTTTGATTCTCCCTGGCCTCTCGCCTCAAGTTCACATTTGCTCCCTTCTCAAAGAGGAATCTTAACGCTTCAACATTCCCCTGACATGCAGCTTCATGAAAGCGGTAAAACCATTAAAATCACACTCATTACATCTGCTCCTTTAGAAAGGAATATTTGGAGCAGATTCACATGTCCTTCTTGCCCAGCGGTGATGAAGGGAGTGGCCCCATTCTTCTTCCTCTGATGAGGGTTAGCACCATAACGAAGCAGAAGTTCCACCATGTCCTCGCTGCCCTGTTGTACTGCATTGTGCAAAGGTGTCCAGCCCCCTTTCTCCTCACCAACATTCACATCAGCCCCTCTTTCCAACAACTGCTGGAGCCGGTTGACTTTTTTCTTTTGAACAGCTTCAATCAACGAAAGCTCCTCTTCTTCTGAAGCCTCTCTATTGCCAGAGAACCCACATCCCCCATGGGGGTTATTATGACCCTTGGTCTCCATTATGGTAAATGCCAATGGCTACAACTTTTTGCCTTTCCTTGAAAAAATGAAAACTTCTCTCTTTAGGACTTGATCCTTGTCTCAGAGTGCAAATTGGGGTTATCTGGCTGCAGTAGGCAGTTTGAAGAGAAGCAGTGTTCTCAGTCTTCTGACATTCCACCTTGAGTCCAGGAGAAATACCTAGTAATTTCAAAAGGAGAAAAAGCAGGTGAATCACAGAAATTAGTTTTACTAGCAAATTTTTCTAAACACATCTACTTATTTATTACAGAACTTCTAAATTATAGATATGAATGTTATGTAAATATAAAATAATGAGCTGGGTGAGGCTTATGTGGTAGAATGTCTGCCTAGCATGTGCAAGGCCCTGAGTCCAAACCCCAGTACTCCCAAAGAAAAAAGGGTAAGGAGCACAAAAACAGACATGAAGACCAGTGGAACAGAATAGAGGACCCAGATATGAAGCCACACAACTATAACCAACTTATCTTTGACAAAGGAGCTAAAAAGATACGATGGAGAAATAGCAGCCTCTTCAACAAAAACTGCTGGGAAAACTGGTTAGCAGTCTGCAAAAAACTGAAACTAGATTCATGTATATCACCCTATACCAAGATTAACTCAAAAATGGATCAAGGATCTTAGTATCAGACCCCCAAACTCTTAAGTTGATACAGGAAAGAGTAGGAAATACTCTGGAGTTAGTAGGTATAGGTAAGAACTTTCTCAACGAAACCCCAGCAGCACAGCAACTAAGAGATAGCATAGATAAATGGGACCTCATAAAGCTAAAAAGCTTCTGTTCATCAAAAGAAATGGTCTCTAAACTGAAGAGAACACCCACAGAGTGGGAGAAGATATTTGCCAACTATACATCAGACAAAAGACTGATAACCAGAATATATAGGGAACTTAAAAAACTAAATTCTCCCAAAACTAATGAACCAATAAAGAAATGGGCAAGTGAACTAAACAGAACTTTCTCAAAAGAAGAAATTCAAATGGCCAGAAAACACATGAAAAAATGCTCACCATCTCTAGCAATAAAGAAAATGCAAATTAAAGCCACACTAAGATTCCACCTCACCCCTGTTAGAATAGCCATCATCGGCAACACCACCAACAACAGGTGTTGGTGAGGATGTGGGGAAAAAGGAACCCTCTTACACTGTTGGTGGGAATGTAGACTAGTACAACCACTCTGGAAAAAAATTTGGAGGCTACTTAAAAAGCTAAACATCGATCTACCATTTGATCCAGCAATACCACTCTTGGGGATATACCCAAAAGACTGTGACACAGGTTACTCCAGAGGCACCTGCACACCCATGTTTATTGCAGCACTATTCACAATAGCCAAGTTATGGAAACAGCCAAGATGCCCCACCACTGACGAATGGATTAAGAAAATGTGGTATCTATACACAATGGAATTTTATGCAGCCATGAAGAAGAATGAAATGTTATCATTTGCTGGTAAATGGATGGAATGGGAGAACATCATTCTGAGTGAGGTTAGCCTGGCCCAAAAGACCAAAAATCGTATGTTCTCTCTCATATGTGGACATTAGATCAAGGGTAAACACAACAATGGGATTGGACTATGAGCACATGATAAAAGCGAGAGCACACAAGGGAGGGGTGAGGATAGGTAAGACACCTAAAAAACTAGCTAGCATTTGTTGCCCTTAACACAGAGAAACTAAAGCAGATACCTTAAAGCAACTGAGGCCAATAGGAGAAGGGGACCAGGAACTAAAGAAAAGGTTAGATCAAAAAGAATTAACCTAGAAGGTAACACCCACGCACAGGAAATCAATGTGAGTCAATGCCCTGTATAGCCATCCTTATCTCAACTAGCAAAAACCCTTGTTCCTTCCTATTATGGCTTATACTCTCTCTCTACAACAAAATTAGAAATAAGGGCAAAATAGTTTCTGCTGGGTATTGGGGGGGAGAGGGAGGGGGAGGAGTGGGTGGTAAGGGAGGGGGTGGGGGCAGGGGGGGGAGAAATGAACCAAGCCTTGTATGCACATATGAATAATAAAAGAAAAAGGAAAAAAAAAGAAAAAAGGGTAAGGATAAGAAAATTATTACTCCATAATTCTACTATCTAGAAACAATAACTAATATTTAAAATATTTCAATAGTTTTTTTTAATTTGGGATCATGCTTAGTAACTTTTTTTGTTGTTGTTGTTAATAATAGGATTGGAACTGAGGGCTTCATGCTTCCACGTCAGGCACTCTTACTGATGATTAAATTTTTTAAACAATTCCAAATGATGTTATATTAAATTCAGCTTATTTTCTTATGATAGATCTGATGACAGACTTTGCATGATAGATTTCAAAGAACTGCATGAGTTGTCAAAGGTTATTATTGTTTGTGTTCAAAATTTTCAACCTATATTAACCAATTTCTTTCAATGTTATAGAAACATGTTCTTACCAGCAAGTGGTGGCTTTAAAAAAAAAAAAAAAGCCTCATTAACAGGAAAGTTGTATTTCATGGGGTTTGTCCATTTGCATTTCTTTTATCCCCAGGACGGCTGGTCTCTGTGTTCCTGACTGGGAGCCTGTGCTCTTTGTAGGACTGTGTGCTTCTATTCAAAGCAGTAGTGGTAGGTGTGGATTCTCACCTCAGTGAGCTCTGACTTTGAGCCCCTGGTTGTGTAACTTTGACTGTTACTTCCTGGTTGTGTAATTTCAGTCTGCTCAGCCTCAATTTTCTGCTTCCTCAGATGGGGTTAACAATAAAAATGGTCACGTGGGTAAAGTACATTAAAGTACAGTACATAACGAATGGTAGGCACACAATGATTAGTTGCACTAATTTTGTCTCCGAAAAAATGATTAATGAATCCTATTCGCCACTCCCGCGTTTATATAAATACTACACAAGCAGGGAATTGGGTGTGTCCGTTTAGTTCAGCTGTCTTCAGTCACCTCTGGACACTTTGGATCCAATTCCATTATCAGAAAAAAAAATCCAACTACTACCTGAGTATTTAAATAGCTGCATGTGCTACAAAATTCACAGACCTTTTTTATAAGGTCTAATCAATTGCACAGCATCAATATGATCACCAGGCAATGAAATCTTTGAACCAAAGTGTTTGTATAGACTGTTCTGGTTACTACCCGGTATGAGGGTGGCTGGTATAAATTAAGGAACAGAGAAAGAAAGAAAATTAGAGACTTTGAGGGGGAAAAAAATGGCGTGCAGAGAATGAGGCACGAGAGACACGAGAAAACAAGTCCTGCTTTCACTTTCGTTTGCTTGAGGTAACCAGAGGAGCCTGAGAATCGCGGACTAACAATGTTTGGACTGTGACAGGACATTGGAGGAAAGGGCTCAGGATCACAGACAGGGCTCCTGTGAGTTTGACAGCAGGCTCTGAGTGCTCACTCTACCCCTTCCCCCAGATCCTACAGCCCTTTCATCTCCTGCTCCCAAAGCCCCAGGAAAGAACGATTTCTCAAGCTTCCCCAGCTCTCCTCCTTCTGCCCGTCTTACCTGCCAAACTCAGGCTTCTCCACAACCATTCCTTTGGCAGTAATTAATCCTCGAAAACTGTCTCCAGCGAGAAAACATTTCCTCCTGGCATGTCACTGAGCCAACAGGGCAGAGCCAAGAAAGGAGAGAGAAAGAAGCAGAGGGCGCGCTGGCACATAGCCACCTTGGACTGCACACACCCTCAGCAGACACACTTTTAACCTCTTGGAGGATAGTGATGGCTCCTCCCTGCCCTGTGATGATTGGCTTGAGGTCCAGGATCGCCCTGCCCGCCTTTCAGCCTCTCAACCTATCAGATTGCTACACTCTACTCCATCCATCACTCCTATCATTTCCATATTATTGGGATTCCCTGTCCTCTTGGGGAAAAAAGAAGGCAAAGCAAACACTTAATCCATTATTCACTCAATGCATATTTATCAAGCATGTGGACAGTGACTATTGTAAATGCCTGGGGCAGTCATGGAGTTCAAGAAGTGTGTGTCTTAGTTGAAAGAAATAGATCATGAACAACGGGGAGGAAAACCTAACATATAATAGAATCTCAAGTTGTGACAGAAATGTAGCAGGGAGGAGGGGGACAGCATAGCAGGGAGATAAAACTTAAAGAATTTGAAGTGAGGAAGGTCACATAGCACTGAGGGTGAAGTAGCCAATAGAGATGCATACAACCATATTTGGACTCACTACAGCTAAGAGACATCTAAGTTCCCATGAAGGAAGCAGCCGGAGATGGACAAAGTGAGTGAGGACACTGTGTAGGTGCAGTTCCTGGATGGGAGGCAGTGTCCAGGTCACCAATAAGGAGTGCATATTGTTCTCCTTTGTGTGTCAGAGAAGAGGACCCCTCCCCCCCTTATCTCTCCTCCAAAACCCCTACCCCTCTATGTCTGTCTTGCCATCTGGTAATGGGAAGAGATAGGTGGAAATCAGGGTAAAAACACTCTCTTGGAGTATATGGTTAAACACTTTAAAAAGGGATTTATGGAGACTGGAGTTAACTCCTAACAAGCTTAAGGCCCTTTGTGAAGTACATTGGCCCACCTTTGGTACAGGGTGGCCCCGGAAGTGTCACTAGACAAAACTGTGGTTAATGAGGTTCATAGGGTAATTGTAGGGAAGCCTGGGCATCCAGACCAGTTTCCCTACATTGATTGCTGGCAGGATGCTGTCTTCAGCCGACTCACATGGCTAAGGCCCTGTCTGGAACAGACCTGTAGGATTATGGTAGCTAGGGTGGCCGCAACTTCCAAGTGTAGGGAGAAAACAAAGGAGCCTATAATGGGCGAAGAACCCGAAGAAATGCTACTGCCCCATGTGCAACTTTATCTCCTCTGCCACTGACACCCAGTTCTGCATCCTCACCTTCAGCATCAGATGGGGAAGCCCAAGGGACAATCACACCTGTAAAATCTGGTCTGGAAGTCCCTGGGGCCTCAACTCCCCTGACCTCCCCGAGTCCTATGGACCCCATGCCCACTCCAAGTCTGCCAGTTCTCACCCCACATTCCCCATTCAATCAGGGGCACCTAACCAGTCTCCATGAGGATCCCTCCTCTCCTCAAATTCCCACCACCCTACAGATGCCCCTGAGAGAGGCCTAAGGCCCAATGTACTATGACCAGGATGGTCAAACACAATAACCATCCTCCGATGGTTATTTGTCTACCAGCCTCCTAAACTGGAAATAGCGTACCCCCTCCTTCATGGAAAAACCTCAGGCTCTGATTGATTTGATGCAGTCTATTATCCATACTCATAAACGCACTGGATAGATTGTCGACAGATTCTTCTGACTCTATTTAATACTGAAGAGTGACACTGTATAACATTGGCAGCTCTAAAGTGGCTGGAAGATCATGCCCCTGCTGGCACCTTAAATGCCCAAGCCTATGCCCAGTCTCTGTTCCCTGAGGAGGACCCCCATTGGGACCCTAATGATGACCAAGGCTACTGTGGCTTGAACGATACCAGGAGGCACTAGTGGGAGGCATGAAGGAAGGAGGGAAAGAGGCCGAGAACACGAGCAAAACATCAGAGGTCCTCCAAGGGCTAGATGAGAGTCCCAGCCAGTTTCATGAGCGTTTATGTGAGGCTTTCCACTTGTACACCCTCTTTGGCCCAGAAGCCACTGAAAGCCAGCAGATGATTAATGCCACTTTTGTTGGCCAGGCCCAGGGGGACATAAGGTGGAAATTGTAGAAACTGCAGTGATTTGCTGGAATGAATGCCGGCCATCTTCTGGAGGTGGCCACAAAGGATTTTGTCAATCGAGATCAGGAGGCTAAAAGGGAGGCCAACAGGAAGATGAAAAGGAAAATAGACTTCCTTGCAGCAGCCATAGTTGAACAGTCAGGCAGACCCTGGCAGGCTAATCCTGGCAGAGGCAATCACCACGGATGGCGACAAGAGACCTTAGGACACCTCACCCCAGGGAGAAACTAAGGCAAAATCAATGTGTGTACTCTCAACAGGAAGGGCACTAGTAGAATGAATGTCCCCAATGGGTCAGGGACTCCCAAAAGGCCCCCCAGACCAGGGGCAGAGCCCGAGTTGTTGAGGGAAAATATCAGCCCACCCACGGGGAAGCCCCTGGAAGAAACATTGTCAGACTGGCAGCCCTGGAAGGCAATGAGGAGGAACAGGACAGACGGGCCTCTGTTTTATGCCCCCCAGGAGCCTTGGTCCGAATAAGGATAGGGGGCCTTCCCATTAACCTCATGGTGGACACAGGCGCAGAACATTCAGTTGTGACCCAACCAGTGGGTCTCCTTTCACAAAAGCATACAACTAGTATTAGGGCTATAGAGGACTGGGTCTGCCACCCCTTCTTAATTTCCAGACAATGCAATCTTGGGAGTCATGAAGTAAGGCATGAATTCCTTTATCTCCCTGATTGCTCCATGGGCTGATGGGCAGGGACTTATTATGCGAACTCTGGCCACAGATAACTTTTAATTCAGATGGTACAGCAGCCTTAACCGGGGTCCTTGGACTCTAATCCTCACAGTCACAGAAGAAGAGGAATGGTGTCTCTCTGCCCCTGAGGGAAGGCCTCCTGAGAGTCCTGAGCTTCCCCTCAAGATTCCCTGTGTATGGGCTGAAGATAACCCCCCAGATCTGGCCCAAAACATGTCCCCAGTGGTGGTGGAACTAAAACCAGGGGCCACTCCTATCAACTAAAAACAGTACTTCGTTCCCGCAAGGCCCAGGTCGAAATTCAAAAACACTTTGACAGACTCCTAAAATATGGGATTTTCTGAAGTGGCCAGTCTTCCTGGGACACCCCCTTATTACCAGTCCAGAAACCGGGGACCAAGGATTTCAGGCCAGTTCAGGACCTCCAGACAGTAAATTCAGCAACTGTCACTTTGCCCCCCACAGTCCCAAATCCATACATGCTTTTAGGCCTTGTCCCAGCTGAGGCAAAGATTTTTACCTGCCTAGATCTTAAGAATGCATTTTTCTGCATCTGCCTAGCCCCACAGAGCCAGACTATTTTTGCCTTCCAGTGGGGAAATCCCAATAACAGAGAAAGGGGGAAACTACCCTGAACTCAATTGCCACAAGGTTTCAAAAACTCCCCCACTATCTTAGGAACTGCCTTGGCATCTGACTTCAAAGGCTCCTCAGCCAACCAGCACGGCTCCACATTTCTCCAGTACATAGATGACTTCCTGCTGGCTGGACCAACTCAGAAGGACTGTATGGAAGGAACTTGCCTCCTTCTTTCTCTTTTATGAGATGCAGGATATAAAGTCTCTCAGAAAAAGGCTCAGATTTGCCAAAACACTGTCAAATACCTCAGCTTTCACCTGTCTCAGGGACAGTGCAGGCTCGGCCCCAAGAGGGCACAGGCTGTTTGTTCTATTCCAGCCCCCAAGACCTGCCAGTAAATCAGAGAGTTTTTGGGAGCTGCTGAATCTGAATCCCTAACTACTCCCTCTTGGCCAAACCTCTCTATGAAGCTACAAAAAGGGGAGAGAATGGGAACCCTTAATATGGGAAAAGGAACAAGAGAAAGCCTTGAGAGAAATCAAGAGGTCACTCACAAATGCTTCTCCTCTAGACCTGCCAGATGTGATGAAGCCCTTTTCCCTGTATGTCCATGAGAGAAAGGGGACAGCTGTTGGGGTCCTGACTCAACTACTGGGGTCCTGGCATTGTCCAGCAGCTCACTTGTCCAAACAGCTCAATGCTGCTGCCTGAGGCTGGCCCCCTCACTTGCGTACCTTAGCAGCCACTGATGCCCTGGTGGCAGAGGCAGACAAGCTTGCCCTGGATAAGAACTCACAGTCTGAGCTCCCCACTCCATCCTAACTCTCATGGAGTATAAGGAAATTATTGGCTGACCAACTCTTGGATGGTCAAATACCACATTATGTAATATGAAAACCCACACATCTGGCTAGAAGTTGCTAAGACTCTAAACCAGGCCACCCTATTGCTGGTTGACTCAGGCCCCCTGGAGCATGACTGCTTAGAGGTTATGGATAAGGTTTTCTTGAGCTGGACAGATCAAAGTGACCAGCCTACTGGCCATCTGGACACTGAATATTTCACAAATGACAGCATCTTTATCTGGAACATCATGCACTTTGCTGGGTAAGCAATAGTAACTCTGGACTCAGTCATTGAGGCCCACCTGCTGCTGGTTGGAACTTCTGCACAAAAGACTGAACTTGTCCCCCTCACGTGGGCACTCCAGCTCACTGCAGGGGCTCAGGTAAACATCTACACTGACTCTAAATATGCCTTCACACTATTCATGTCCATGGGGCCCTATATAAGGAGAAGGGTCCATTAATTTGGGAGGGAAAAGTATCAACTATGGGCAGGAAATCCTTGAACTGCTAGATGTTGTGTGGGCCCCTAAACGGGTGGCAGTTATACACTGCTAAGGGCACCAAAAGGGAGATACAACAATTGCTCAGAGAAACTGGAAAGCTGATAGGGAAGCCAAACAGACAGCCCTCACGAGAGGATCAGCCCCAACTGCCCTGATGGCTGCCTTGTTCTCATGTCCCTTAGCTGAATGGGACCCAAGGTACACAACACAAGAGCAGGCTTGGTTTAAGACTGAGGAGGGAAACTTTTTACTGGACAGATGGTGGAAGTTTGCTGATGGCCACATTGCCATTCCTGAGTCACTGGCTACTACATTTGTCAAACAGTTCCA